TGGTAGAGCATATGCAGATCTTATAGTTATATGTGTGTGCATGTGCCTTCTAACTGTCTGTTGACATATGGCAGTGTTTCTCAACCTGGGGGTCAGAACCCCTAGGGGGGGGGTCATGAGGTGTTGTCAGAGGGGTCACGAAAGACCATCCGAAAACACAGTATTTTCTGTTGGGTCATGGGGGTTCTGTGTGGGATGTTTGGCCCAATTCTATCATCGGAGGGGTTCAGAATGCTCTTTGATTGTAGGTGAACTATAAACCCCAGCAACTACAACTCCCAAATGTCAAGGTATATTTTTCCCAAGCTCCACATTTGGGCATATTGAGTGTTCGTGCCAAGTTTGGTCCAGATCCATCATTGTTTGAGTCCACAGTGCTCTCTGGATGTAGGTGAACTACAACTCGCAAACTCAAGGTCATTGCCCAGTAAACCCTTCCAGTATTTTCTGCTGGCCATAGGAGTTCTGTGTGCCAAATTTGGTTCAATTCCATCATTGGTGGAGTTCAGAATGCTCTTCGATTGTAGATTAACTATAAATGACAGCAACTACAACTCCCACATGACAAAATCAACCCCTCACAACCCCACCAGTATTCAAATTTGGGCGTATTGGGTATTTGTGCCAAATTTGGTTCAGTGAATGAAAATACATGCTGCATATCAGATATTTACATTACAATTTGTAACAGTAGCAGAAATACAGTTATGAAGTAGCAATGAAAACAATGTTATGGTTGGGGGTCACCACAACATGAGAAACTGTATTAAGCGGTTGTGACATTAGGAGGGTTGAGAAACACTGACTTATGGTAATCCAATGAAATGAATACTCAAGAGGTGGTTTTGCCAGTTCCTTCCTCTGAAGTATAGTCCAAACTGTTGCACCTTAGCTGTCCACCTTGCTCACAGTACTCACCAAGAATCCAAAATGGTAATAAACAGTTTATTAATAAAACATATATAAAAAGGATCAAACGGAAGGGTAAAATTCCAAGAGTTAATAAAGGAAGCAAGTCTCAAAGGCAAAAGGTAAATCCAGAAAACAATTGTTAAAACATGAATATCAATCCAGGAAACAAAGAGCAGAACGTGAGCATGAATCCATAGGTAAATCCATAAAACAAGGAGCTAAACTTGACCAGAAATCTTGGGTCTTGAACTAAGGCATAAACTAGGGGAAAGACAGAAATTTCGAACTCCAGTACCCACATTACTTGATCTAAAATCCTAACAGCTTTCTCCCTAATTTAAGGACTGCAAAACATGAACATATGCCTTTGACCTTGAGAGTCCTGCTTCTGCCTTTCTTTCTAATGGGCTTTCCTTCACCTGAATCTCTGCCCCCCCCCCCCCCCAGAAGCAGCCTGGTATCTCTGTCTAAGCCAGCTACTTCCTCAGATGAGCTAATTTTATCCTCCCCTCCCAGCCTGTTGGCTTCCAAAACAGTTTCACTCTCACACTCTGTTTCAACAACAGCGTCTTGCTCCAAAACTCCCTCTATTCCCTCAGCTGGAGAACTATCTTGCTCTAAACCCCTCATCTTCATCTGGCTGAACCACAACACAAACTATTGGTGGTCTCTATTTATTTATTTATTTCTTATACTTGTATACCACCGTTTCTCAGCCTGACCGGCGACTCAACGCGGTTTACAACAAGGATAAAATCAACAACAATATACAATGTAAAACCACAAAGGCATAAAATACAATATTAATCCAACAATAAACAACACAATGCATCTCATAACTAAAATCATGATCCAGTTCGTCGTCCAATTTTCCAATTCCTGTAATCATCACATTGGTTGCACTGTTTAACCGAATGCCCATTCAAACATCCAGGTTTTTAATCTTCTTCGGAACACCATCAGCGAGGGGGCTGATCTTACCTCCATGTGAAGGGCGTTCCACAGCCGGGGGGCCACCAGCCAGCCGCAACTGTGAAGCAGGCGGGATAGAGAGCAGGGCCTCCCCAGAAGATCTGAGGGTCCTGGCGGGCTGATAGGCAGAGATACGTTCGGATAGGTAACTTGGGCCAGAACTGTTTAGGGCTTTATAGGCCAACGCCAGCACTTTGAATTGAGCCCGGTAGCAAATCGGTAGCCAGTGGAGCTGGTGCAGCAGAGGAGTTGTATGCTCCCTGCGCTCCGCTCCTGTTAGTATCATGGCCGCCGAGCGTTGGACTAGCTGGAGCTTCCGGGCCATCTTCAAAGGCAACCCCACGTAGAGAGTGTTGCAGTAGTCTAAACGGGATGTAACCAGAGCGTGGACTACCGTGGCCAAGTCAGACTTCCCAAGGTACGGGCGCAGTTGGCGCACGAGTTTTAACTCTCTCCTCCTCCTCCTCCTCCTCCTCCTCCTCCTCCTCCTCCTCCTCTATACCCCACTTTTTTCCATAAAGGAGACTCAAAGCAGCTTACTATAAACCGATACAATACAATACAATGTTCAAATATATATATATAAACATTAAATATTAATGGTATTAAAAATAGACAGTTAAAACCTCTAAAACCACTTTAAAACCAATTCATGTCTAAAAAATATAGTTAAAAACATAGCAACCCCCAGCTAACTATCAATGGAACTTGCTTAGCTTCCAAAATTAGACAAGATTTGGTGCCTTTAGAGAGTGGGGTGAAAATCATGATTCGGGACAAACTTATACCCCTATCGATTTAGTTTTTATACAATGTTTTAGAATCACAATTGGAAGAGACTGCATGGGCCACCCAGTCCAACTCCGTCATGCAGAAAAAGCACAATCAAAGCACTCCTGACAGATGGCCATTCTGCCTCTGTTTATTTATTCATTTATTTACTTATTTCGAGCTTTTATAACCCGATCTTCTCGACCTCTGAAGAGAGACTCAGGCCGGCTAACAGCATAGGATTAAAATACAATAAGATAAAACACAGTAAACATCATAATACAATAGTACAAAAATCCATTAAAATACAATTATACAACTTACAAAAGGTCAGTTCGTCAGAATAAATCATAAATGCATCACCATCTGCCCATGTGGTCAGCAGTTATTGACTCAGTCATCATTCTGCAAATGCAGTATTCCAAAGCCATGTTTTTACCAGCTTTCTAAAAGTGAGGAGGGAAGGGGCAGATCTAATCTCCATCGGGAGGGAGTTCCAAAACCAAGGGGCCACCACTGATAAGGCCCTGTCCCTCGTCCTCACCAATCGCAATTGCGAAAGAGGAGGGACCGAGAGCAGGGCCCCTCCAGAAGATCTTAATAACCTTGATGGTTCATAGGGGAGAATCCGTTCAGACAGGTAAATTGGGCCGGAGTCGTTTAGGGCTTTATAGGTCAACAGCAGCCTCAAAAAGCCTCAAAAGAAGAATCTTCCACTGGGCTCTGAGGCAGAGAGTTCCACTGTTGAAGACCTCTTACAGTCAGGAAGTTCTTCCTAATGTTCAGGTGGAATCTCCTTGCCTGTAATTTGAACTCATTGCTCCACTGAGTCCTAGTCTCCAAGACAGCAGAAAATAAGCTTGCTCCCTCTTCCTTATGACAGCCTTTCAAATAGTTAAACATGGCTCTCATGTCTCATCTCAATCTTTTCTTCTGCAGGCTAAACATCCCCAGCTCATTCAGCTGCTCGTCAGAGATATTCATGGTCTCCAGACCTTTGCTCATTTTAGTTGCCCTCCTTTGGACACCTTCCATCTTGTCAATATGTCTCTTAAATTGTAGTGCTCAGAACTGGACATAGTATTCCAGGTGAAGTCTGGATTTTGATAGGTTGATTTTAATGGTAGAGGGAAGCTTTTCCAATCCCCAGAACCCAGCAGGGGTCAAACCGAGTCCCCCTGATGAGATAGGGTGGGTTACAAATAAAGTATTATTATTATTATTATTATTATTATTATTATTATTATTATTATATTATTATTATATACCAAACCAGCCACTTTTGGAAAAGACCCGTAATTGTTATTTAATTTTCTCAACAAGGTTAGTGATAGGGGTTTGGGGAGCCAGGAGAGGTGCTGGGAAGCAGTCATAAAATGGTCTTCAGGCCACTTGATGTCTATTGTTCCAATCTTCAAAACCATGGTATGACAATGACGATGAAAACAACAACAAAAATAACAACAAAATTACTACCCACCTCTCCAGATATTATATTAATATTTATGAGGGAGGAGGCAGGTGAGACAGATTTTAAGTGGCTGTATCATTCATATTCATATGAATGAATACTAATACAAAGGAAAGGCATATTTATCTAAATCTGACAATTGACATTTCTCCTCCCTGCTCTTTATTTTGTTAGGCTGCAACTGCCATCATCTCCCAGCACTGGCCATTCTAAGTAGGACTGATGGAATTTGCAGTCCAACAGTTTCTGGAGAGCAACAAGTTGCCCATCCCTTATTCCAGACTTAGAAAAAACACATTTAATTTCAGCAAATCCTAATCCATTGGCTGTGTAGCTTCTTGCCATCTTTCTTTTTAACTCAGCTACTTTTCCTACTAGATGTCAGGAAAATAGATGAAGATGTCCACAAATCTCACTGCTGTCACAAAGAGTGGGGGCTTTTTCTTATCCCACCAGCAATAAGGCCCTTCTCCTGTCCGATCGCTGTGGGAACCAACTGGACAGACTTATCGAATTATTATTTAAGTGGCACTGCTCTCACTTTGTCCCTCCTCTGCTACAGCCCTGGTTGAGTCACAAACTCAGAAATCCAGGTTCAGAGATATATGGACAATATCTGGACCGTGCATCTGCGTCTTTGAGGAAAATGCAATCCATCCAGGTCCAGGTCCATATTTCCTGACCTATTTTTCAAATAACCCAAGCACCCAGTCCTGTCTGGATTGAATTTCAGTTTTTTTGTCTTCATTCATAGTCCATTCATTACAGAAATATAGGTTGGATCGATTTGTCTCAAAAATGGGCAAAGGTCACCATCAGGAAGCGACCCAACTTGGAGGGAGAAAAAAAAAGATGAGTCAACAGGGTGTCTTACCTTCACATCTCAGAACAGCATTGTCCCAGACCACGTTGCCCTCTTTCAAGACACAGGTGACAGTTTCCGAGCCATGAGTCCTAATGAAACCTTCATCGCATAAGAAGGACACGGAGCTCCCAAGCTGAAGACTGTCCCCAAATCGCTTCCCGTTGACTGGCACACCTGGATCGGGGCACTCATTGTGTCGGAAGGCTAATAGGGAGTGAGAAGATGGAGGATTAGCAAAAGGATGGTTTTCTCCAAATAAAAATGTTTCCAGGTACCTATGCATCAGTTCTAGCTCTAGATGAAGAAGAGACAATGCACAGTCTGGATCTTTACCTCTTACATTTTGCTTTTGAGTGGTCAAGAGCACTTAAAACCCTCTAGCCACTTCAATGCAACTGCGGGCATTTATAACAACAACAACAACAACAACAACAACAACAACAACAACAACAACAACTTTATTTGTTCTTCATCTCCCCAAAGGTACTCGAGGTGGCTTACATATGGCACAATGTGCCTGGAACAATGTATAAAATAAACACACAATACAATAAAAGATAAAACCACTAGCATATAAAACAATGATTTAAACTCAAAACAGTGCCCAGTAACCTATGGTAGAAAGTGACGTAAAACATGGCCAACTGTAACAAGGAACAGGGGAATAGACCTTGAGTCGCCTTTGGCTGAGAAAGGCAGTATAAAAATGCAGTAAATAAGTAGAATAGTATAAGTTGCAGCCCATGAACTAGGGCATGGAACAAAAATGCAGGGCTCTTTGGAACTCTCAAAAATGTCAGGCGTATACGGGTCACCTGCTATTTTGGAAATGTGTACAAGTAATTTCCTGTTTCTAAAAAAATAAAGAAAACAAAACCTTCAGCAGCTGAGCTCTGTTATGTTCTCTCCAACCACAGCAAGTTGGCCAGTAGGACTTCCTAGAAATAGCATTGGCCATTTGGGGTTGATTTGTTTAGTTTCCATATAGCCAGAAAAAAGGGAGATACAAATAAATATGATGATGATGAGGTTGATGATGATGATGATGATGATGATGATAGCAATAGTACCAACAACAATGCATGTAAGACCAAGGCTCATCCCTTCAAACGGGCCCAAAACTAGATTTGTCAAAGGGAAACCTGGGGCTGCCTCCTATACAACTTTAACGCTTGTGTGGAAGAGGGAAATGCAGTAGGTTTCGCTTGCACTGCAACCAGGTGATAAACAACATTTATAGGAGCTCTCTCCAGTTTTCACTCTGACAACAATTTCCACAAGCACAGCAATTGCCCTTCCTTGTTTCAGAAAAAAGTACCATAGAGTCTCGCTTATCCAACCTTCACTCATCCAACATTCTGTATTACCCAACACGTCTGCCTCCTGCCCGGATCCATAGCTGTTTCAATACATTGCAATGTTTTGGTGCTAAATTCATAAATACAGTAATTACTACATAATGTTACCATGTATTGAAATGCTTTTTCTTTCGATTTGTTGTAAAACATGTTGTTTTGGTGCTTAATTTGTAAAATCATAACGTAATTTGACATTTAATAGACTTTTCCTTAATCCCTCCTTTAGTTTAGCTTATCCAACGTTCTGCTGGTCTGTTAATGTTGGATAAGCGAGACTCTACTCTATCCAAAAGAGACTTCCAATTGAACTCTGGTGTCTCTTAGGATGCATTTCCACCACTGTAGTTTTACATTACTTGAGTTGCCATGGCTCAGTGCAATGGGATTACAGCAGTTGTAGTTTTACAAAGTCTTTAACCTTCCCTGCTAAGGAGTGCAGATGCCTCACCAAACTACAACCCCCAGGATTCCACACCTTTGAGCGATGGCACTTAAAGTGGGGACAAACAGTATTAATTTGACCGTGACTTCAGTTAGTAGTTCTGCCAGTTCCAAAACATCCCCAACGTGGAACTGAAAGATACAGTGAGACTGACTCTTTGTGGGCCCAAGGCCACAGATAAGAGGAATAAGGGTGAGCCTCAAAAAATAGACCCTACTATATTATCCATATATCATTTTCTTTAATATAATTATACCCTGTCTTTCTTGATAAATGTAAGCACAAATAGGCTTGCAGAGGAAAAGCAGCACAACCTCAAATAGCACCTGGAAACAAATTCCATATTAAATTACAAATCAAACATCTATAATGGATGGAGACAGCTTACGAAAATCCATCTCAGAAAACAACAGAAGGGGAAAAGAAACCCAGAGTTCACAAATTTAAAAAGTTAGCAGTAGCACAGTTTACCTTGCAATAAGTTGCTTCTTTGGGGAATTAAGGAGTCATGAAGTCATTTCAAAAATAAAATAGTGAGAGAAAGTAAAAGCTCTTTCTTGTATAAGGAACAACACTTTCTAGTTGCTTTCTGTAGCATCTTCAAGAGCATTTTAATAGTTTTTTTCCACCACATTTCTTGTCAACCACTAAGGCAATGGTTTTCGAACTGTGGGTCCCCAGGTGTTTTCGTCTACAACTTCCAGAAATCCTAGCCAGTTTACCAGCTGTTACGATTGTAGGAGCATGCAAGGAATGAATTAATGTGTGTGTGTCGATGGTAAAATAAGATGCATGAAGCTGATTGGTCAGGCTGGATCAATGAGCCTGGGACTTTTGGTTACTGTTGCATTGTTGTTCAGGCTTGAGCTATGCAAGTGCAGAGAGAGAGAGTTTGAAGAGAGAAACAGAGAGAGATAGAGTTTGGAGTGTACCCTTGCTTCATGAGCTCCTGAAGGACTTTATCCAACATGGACAAAGAAAGACTATTTTAATCCTCTCATAAAAGGACATTATGTGAGTTGAAGCAATTGATCATATTGAACTTATGTTGTTCTGAATTAAGAAGAATAAACTACTTGTTCTTTGCTGTTCACCTGCGTGGCATATTTTCTTTCTCTGGCAAGGCAGTGTGTGGGCTGATAAAACATGAACTACACATGGTTTATTTTACATTACGCCACAAGGGAGTTGAAGGCCAAAACATCTGGGGACCCACAGGTTGAGAACTACTGCACTAAGCCCCTCCCCCAAAACGTATCAGAGAATACGCTCTTTCTAGGAATTTCCTATAACCTCTAGATCAATGGTTCTCAACCTGTGGGTCCCCAGGTGTTTTGGCCTACAACTCCCAGAAATCCTAGCCACTTTACCAGTTGTTAGGATTTCTGGGAATTGAAGGCCAAAACATCTGGGGACCCACAGGTTGAGAACCACTGCTCTTGATGATTCTACAACACACTTCTGCTTGAAGCTACCATGCAGTCATCCTGGAGAATCTAGCAAATTCCCAAAATTGTTAGCCAAAATAGCCCTGGGATTGTGGCGCAGCTGGCTGAGTGTCAGCTGCATTAAGATCACTCTGACCAAAATGTCATGAGTTCAAAGCCAGCCCGGGTTGGAGTGGGCTTCCAACCAATTGTGTAGCCTGTTGTTGACATTTGCAACCCGAAAGACAGTTGCATCTGTTAAGTAGGAAAATTAGGTACCACCTTGTGTGGGGAGGCTAAATTAACTAATTTATGAGACCATAAAAAAAGACTCCAGCAAAGCACTCCAGCAAAAGCATGCGGGGAATGCGGAAGTACTTCATCAGTGTTGCAGATGGACGATGGAAGCGACAGCTCCCCTGGCGGTCAGAAAAAGTTAAATAGCCTCTGTTAAAAAGTTAAAAAAGTTAAATAGCCTCTGTGTTTGTCTGTATATGTTGTATGTCAAATTGGCATTGAATGTTTGCCATATATGTGTAAATAGTAATCCGCCCTGAGTCCCCTGCGGGGTGAGAAGTGCGGAATAGAAATGAATAAATAAATAAATAAATAGAAGTAGAAGACCTCAACTTGTTTATTACACTTTACATGTTTTACATAATTTGGCCTATTTATGTTTTTAAAAATGCCATGGATGGTGCTGTGGGTGACTTACACTGGATCTACACTGCGATATAACACAGTTTCAGAATGCAGATTAACTGCAAGTGTAGACTTATATAATCCAGTTCAATGTTATTAATCTGCATTCTGAAACTGAATTGTATCACAGTGTAGATCCAGCCATAAACTCACATAACTTCAGAGTTCCATGATCATGAGTCTTATTGGAGATATTACCCAAAAAGGTGGGCGCCCCCGGTGGTGCAGTGGGTTAAACCCCTGTGCCGGTAGGACTGAAGACCAACAGGTCGCAGGTTCAAATCCGGGGAGAGGTGGATGAGCTCCCTCTATCAGCTCCAGCTCCTTGTGCAGGGGCATGAGAGAAGCCTCCCAAGGATGATTTTAAAAAAAATCAAATCATCCGGGCGTCCCCTGGGCAACGTCCTTGCAGACGGCCAATTCTCTCACACCAGAAGCGACATGCAGTTTCTCAAGTCGCTCCTGACACGACAAAAACAAAAAAACAAACAAACCCCAAAAAGGTATACAATATTTCTTTGTGCCTGACACACAGTCTCCCTCCAAAGTTATCTGAATTTCTAACCAATGCTCAGATTGGCTAGACGACTCACCCATGTTGTGACCCTGAATAACCTTCTTCTCCTAATCTAATGAACAAATTCCACATCAACACTCTTAAACACCAGGTATTAAGCCCCGAGCTTAAAAGAAAAGAAACACAAAAAGGACACCCCACAGGTTAGCTGACTTTGATGAACCTGTCCCCTAATCCAGTACGGCAAATTATTTTTAATAATAGCTAGTTTGCAGTTGCCAGCCAGAAATACTATTAATTTTACAGAGCTGTTAACCACTGTTATAACAAAGGCCATTCATCACTCCTGCCAAGCCATCGTACTCTCGTGCCGTGGAAAATTATAGAAAAGCACACAAGAGCCAGTTGCCATGGGAAGCTGGCAGTCACTTGGGCGACAAAGCGCTCAGATTTAGGAGGATCTCAAAATAATTCTTGGTCTATTTTGCTTCATGCCTTCTGATGGAACATCTGTAAGCACTCAAAAGGAGTACAGTACATTTGAGGGAGAAGGTTTCATTCAAGGAGGATTTTTGGTGGTACTTAATCAGGGTTCCGTGATTTTTTCACAGCTGCAGGTAAATGTCCTCAAAGAAAGCAATAAGTTTCCAAACTGTTGATGATCCCCAAACCCTAACATACATGTCTCAAACTCAAGGCCCATGGGCTGAATTCATCATTTTATGTGGCCCTCCTCCAGATGCTACAACTCCTGTATT